CTGCTGAGAGCCTTCAGCACAGCACAGCGTTCTTCTGGCAACCGCTCTCAGAGGGCAGTTGCAGAAATTACTTGAGCAGTGGCCTGGAATGGAGTGATCAGTCAAAGCATTTATCTATATTCCTCAAAAAGCAACCAATAGTACTTATTATGCAATTTGTCCCCCAAAATATAAATTGCAATAATAACTGCTGGTCCCTGAACTACAAATGAGCAGTGAAACTTGGCAGGACTGAAGGACTCAGTCTGAGAAGGTGGTGAGCGTTCTCCATCTAACTTCAGTCCACGCTGGCATCCCTGGGGCCCTTGCAAAACCAGTTTGTGAGACTGCACTCTTTCAAAAAGCAACTTTTGTTTTCGCATTGGATCCATGAATTTTCAAAGCAAAACAAAGATTTTGAGATGTGTGTAGCTCATCAGTTTTTAAGTACTGCTTCATTCATACCAAGTTCTGACTCTGCTTATAGACATAATTTTGCTCGTTGTTTAAAAAAATATGTACAAAAGGTGAGGGTAGCCAATTAGAGGTGAGGGCTCAATTAGAATTTCCAACAGCCTCAATTCAGAGAACTCTGTTCATTTGCCCAGAAAATAACTTGCAGTTTGTATATTAGATAAAGTATTTTCTTAATCAGAGAAAAATCACCTGGGTTAAGTTAGCCTAGAACAATAATACTCAGGACTGGTTTAAAGTGCTAGTGAATGGTGGTGTCATGTCTCTTTAAGCAAGAACACAGGCCTCCAGCTGTCATCAGACCATTAGTATCAGCTTGCAAACCTGGACTGCGCTCCCTGTCTCATTAAGGCGCAGGGAGGGAACAGCAAGATTAACGTTTTGTTCCAGCTGAATCTTTAACTCCCACCTGGGCAACTCCAAAGAATGTCCTGAACAGGTCTAGTTTAGTGTCTTATATAATGGCAGGATTTTTTTCCTTTTTTTAGTTAGATGTCATGAGCAGTGGATACTGGCTAAACCTTGAAGTGCATGCAAAAGCCATTCTACTTTTTAATCTGATAAGAGCATTTCTAAAGGCATTCATAAATAAGAAAATATTGACATATCAGCTTTCGAGTGGATATAGAGGCACAAATACTCTCTCACAGTAAGAAAATTCCTTCTGAGTTTCTTAAAAGTGAGCTACTTCTTGCCCTCACATATCTGAAAATTAGCTCTCAGTCTACCATGATTATCTGGAGTCCTTCTATAGTTAGTGGAGAGACATTGGCCCCTCTAGACAGCCAGCATCCTACCTACTGTGTAGGTAAGCTTTTAGGCTGAATGACTTGCCTTCCAGAGATATTTACCTCTCCGTACCGACTATCTTAGGCCTAACTATTCAACAAGTTACTCCTATGAGGTAAGAGGAAGACCTGCAAACTGCCCTTGATAGTCCTTTAGCAAAATGCTCACACAGTAACAGAGTATGCCTCTATACAACTGTTAAGAGAAGAGTACTCAGTTTCAAAACTGTTGTTCAAATTGTTATTAGTCATGACACCAAATGATGTATATGCCAGCCAACTGAATCTCCCTTTGGTCCCATAAGTGTAAAAAAAAAAAAAAGAAATCAAAAGAATTAAGTACATTATTAATCTAGTGTCATCAAAATATACCACCAGTCCATTCAGAGGCACAAACTTCTGCTCATAAGCAGTCCTGTTGAAGACTGTAGTATTTATACCTAGGTAGATAAAAGCATAGCAATAAAGATGCTTTTCTGAAAATCTGGTGTTTTCAGCTTTTAAAAGTTTGCATGTATTTACAGAAGCTGTAGATGTAAACCTTGGTCCCATAATGAACCCTGCTTAAACACAGCCCTGTTTCTACAGGCAGCACAGTGTCTGTTAGCGTAAGGGCCTTCCTGCACAGAATTCACAGTACAATCATGGTAATAGGTCCTGTCCCTGCAAGTCCTCCATGCATTGGACTCTCCGGGAAGCATACTCAGGACTGACAGGGTTTTACTTTTATATGTCCTGTTTCATTAGAGTCAGCTTCTGGGAACATTAGAATTACCAGGGGTTTTGCGTATGTCCCAACACAGAAATCTGCTCAGGATTTTGAAATACTACCATGCAATCTGTAATTATTGGTGGGATTATTTTAACCTTTTGCCAGATTTGTAGAACCAAATAATTAAGCAATTTTAAAATTGTACAGGTCTTCTAAGAATAATGCTGATAAAGGAGTGCATGAAGAACAACTATATTTCATCCAAAATTTTATCAAAATTTAAAATGTAAATAAAAAGGTATATGCGATGGCTTGGTCTAGGAGACTAAAAAGGACACAGGAGATCTTTTGGGGCAAAGAGGTTTAAGGTTGGTTGTAGTGAGGGTCCGGTTGTGACCTACACAACACTTCCATGCCTCTGGAGTTCTCCTAATGGAATGTGAGACTTTATGGAGGTAATGACATTTGCTGCTCCTGCATGTGGAGAATTGTGCTTTGCCACCATAATTGGTAAGACCACCATGCAGAACTTTGAGGAGTGGATCCAAATTTGCCATTTCAGTGCACCAAGCACACTAAAATTATCTTGGGGTTTAGATAAGAGCAGTTTTCTGTGCGGGCAATGCGTTATTACCAGTTACTGTATGGCAGCTGACCTCTGACAGCTGTTTATGAGCACATTCTTAGCTCTTGGCAAACATGAAGTGATTTGGGGATTACTGACATAGGATAACCTGGTACCTGTGGGAAAGTGTCTGTATCTTTTTTTTGCAAATAGCTTCCAAGTGTGCACAGCCTGTATAGTGCATCCAGCTTCTTTTCTATGTGACTCTTGTAATTCTGTATTATTTTGTATGTCAATATGCATGTTTACACATGCAAACACTATTTATATACTAAATCAGGGCATTCGTTAGCCAATGTGGATGTACTAATACATGCATGGAAATCAGAGATACAGGTATTCAATCTTTATGAAATCAAGAAATGTGTTCCTCATAGATATGTCCATTCTGAAACTACAATCTTGCGTTCCTGCTGGCAAGGACCCACCTAGATCTATATTACATCACCTTGTGTACTTCCCAACACACAGAAAGCATGAAGTATATCCATGTTGCAATATCTTATATCAAGTTTTGGTGGAAAACTTTGATGTCAGTTAAAACTATTTTAATGTGCACTAAGCGTTCATCTTCTAAAGAAAATGAACGAAACAGTGATTGAAAGGTATTAGGCACTGAAACAGTGTTTCTGTTCTCTTAACTACCTCTGTTTCTAGGGATTTATTTTTAGCTTTTAACATTAACTTGCATAGTTTTGAGATAGTTTTTTTTTTTTGTGCAAAATGACAGTAGCTACATGACTGCAATCATGTTTAACACCCACACTACACTTCTGTTCAGGATTCAGAGCAAGAGGAAGACAATGCAGAAGACATTCAAGAAGAATATTTCACAGAGAGCAACAGTGAAGTATCTGAGGAGGCATATACTGAAGAGGACGAGGAAGAGGAAGAAGAGGAGGAAGATGAAGATGAAAGTGATGAAGATGAGGATGAAGAAAAGCAAAATGCTGCAGCTGGTGAAAGAACTGTGAATTGTGAAGGTGGCAGGAGTTCTGATCACATTAAACGCAAGAAATGCAACAGTCAGAAGGGCGGTGAAAGCTTACTCAATGGCCATGAAGGAAAAGATACAGACAGTCTGAGCTTTAAATCCAGTGCCATCCACCCTTGTGGAAATCCAACAGTTATTGAGGATGCCTTGGAAAAAGTTAGGAACAATGACCCTGACACCACAGAGGTCAATCTGAATAACATTGAAAACATCACTTCACAGATGCTTATACAGTTTTCTCAAGCTCTCAGGGACAACACAGTGGTTAAGTCATTCAGTCTGGCTAACACCCGTGCTGATGACAATGTTGCAATAGCTATTGCTGGTATGTTAAAGGTGAATCAGCATATAACTAGTCTGAACATTGAGTCAAATTTTGTCACAGGCAAAGGGGTACTGGCCATCATGAGAGCTTTGCAGAATAACAAAGTTCTAACAGAGTTACGCTTCCACAATCAAAGGCATATTATGGGCAGCCAGGTGGAAATGGACATAGTTAAACTGTTGAAAGACAACACCACTCTGGTCAAGCTGGGATACCACTTTGAGCTTGCTGGACCAAGAATGAGCATGACAAGTATCCTGACAAGAAACATGGATAAACAAAGGCAAAAGCGTATACAGGAGCAACGGCAACAAGAGTCCAGTTGCGATGGAGTGACTAATCCTAAGACCAAAGTCTTGCAGAAAGGAACACCTCGATCCTCACCTTATGTATCACCTAAGAGCTCACCTTGGTCCTCCCCAAAGCTCCCAAAGAAAGCACCACCAATGAAAAGTCAGCCCCCAGCTCCAGCTACTCCAGCTACAGCACCTCCACCTCCTCCTCCACCTCCTCCTCCCCCACCGCCTCCTCCCCCTCCTCCTCCAGTTTTTACAGAGAAGAAGGTACCAACTAGGAATATAGCTGAGGTCATCAAACAGCAAGAAAGCTCAAAAAAAGCCTTACAAAATGGACAGAAAAAGAAAAAAGGCAAAAAAAGCAAAAAACATGAGAACAGCATATTGAAAGAAATTAAAGATTCTCTAAAATCAGTCTCCGATAGAAAATCAGAGGAAGGTTCACGACCCTCCACTCGACCTTCCACCCCACAAAGGTCTCTCCATGACAATCTTATGGAAGCAATTCGAGCGAGCAGCATAAAACAGCTAAGGCGGGTAAGTAGTAGATCACATTTCAGCAACTGATCATAGCTCAGACATATCACCAGCTTAATTAATTTTAGTACATATATATTTAACAAAAAGGATTTTTAAAAACATGAACACAGGAAAATATTTGGGAGGAGGCTTTCCTCGGATTAGGATTTTCTCAGCACACATTTTATTTCTATTTGACTGTGGTTTTGACAGAAAGTGGGGTACTGCTGCAACCCAGGTTCAGGCTTGTTACAGCAAATGGTGCTTAGCACTGGGATCTTGGGAGTGTCCCTGGAAGTCAGATAGGGATTTTACCATCTCTGGAGCATAACACATGACAAATCCGCTATTGCGGCGCCTCCCAGGAAATGGACTGGCTTTCTTGCTCTAAGAAATAAATCACTCAGAGCTAATGTCCTTTCAGATAGCTTTAGACAAAAGAGAAGAGGAAGGAAATTTTAGTTTTATGGAGTAGATGGACATATTTCTAAGTATCTATAATGGGCTGAGGTATTATGGAGACTAGATTCTTAGGAACATATGTGAATCACAATTACATCTCATCATTGTATCATAAAGATAAGCAGACAGACTGCTCAGCTGATGATTTCTAGACTGAATGAGACTGTAATGAGACTCCCTCCCCTGGTTTTGTAGGTGGAGATTCCAGAAGCCCTTCGGTGAGAGGGTGAACATCAGAAGAACCAGAGCTCTACAGCGGTCAAGGGGAGGTTACTGATCTGTTCACTGGTGGTAAAATAGACTTTATAGAAAGCTGCTTCCAAAGTACATTCTTAGACATGAAACATTTTTCTTTTCTTTTAAAAGAAATAAACCCACTAAACACTAAACAATGCTTTAAGGATACATCCACCTTGTAATCTGTAAATATGGAAATAATTTTTTTTATTTAATGAGATTTCTATTGAGAAATTGCTGTTTATTTAGATATTCTTTTCAATATGTGATTGCACATCAAGTTCTTCTCACCGAGATGTAATAGTTTACTGACCTGCCGTTTCTTTTTCTTTTTTTCTTTTCTTTTCTTTTTTTTTTTCCCATGAATTTACAATAAATGTGGTTTGACGCTTTTAAGCAAAAACATAGTCCTGGATTTCTGTGAGTGAAAAACCTATCAATCAGATGTTTGTTTCAAATTCATAAGCCCTAAGAAAGTCTCACAGAAAAGTACCTGAGATCATTCTCAGCTGCACCAATCAAGCCTGTTTGGAGGATGGTACCTGACCCCATATGTTAGTGCAGTTTCATACAGACATGGAAGAAACTGGTTCATAAGGTTACAAAAAACTAAAATTAAGCTGTGAGCTGTATCCAGCCACTGGTATGCAAGGTCCTAATCCTCGATCTAACATAAGGTGAAAGTTCATGATGAGTAGCGCTGTAGTTAATGTTGACTAAAGGGTTGAAGATTAATTTGGATATTTTAAGGATGTAACAGAATTATTAAAATGAGATCCACTTAGTATGAGGGCAAATTACAAGTGTATCTAGGCAGAAATAACCCTGATGCAGAGATTCAGTCAGACAGAGAAACCTGAAGAGCAGTCTAGCGTTCGGGTGGAAAAAGACCTTCATATGATACCAATTGGACAACAAGCTGGGTGTGAATTTTCAGTACGGTATGGTGGAAGCAGAGCCAATATGATTTGGAGATGCACGAGGTCTCACATCACAGACAATGTCATGAATAGCCCCTCTTTGTATAGTACTAGACAGCCTCCCTCTGTCAGATTAATTACAGTTCTAGGTGCTTCAGCCAGTGTGAAGACAGCGATAACATGAAGAAAACTGAGCAGTAGCCAAAATGTTGAAGGTCAAGAGGAGGTATAGGTTTCTGAAGCACTACTAACTATTAATGAGTTTGCTCATTCAAAACACAAAATAACAGAGTTAGTATTTCTTTCACATAAAATCACAACAAAGAGAAGTAGTTATTTAAGGTTACCCAACAACTACATTGCAATGCTACTGAAAAATACAGATAAGTTTGTATTGTGAAATATTCGTAAGATAGATTTCTCTAGAAAGAGGAGCAGATGCTTGAATGAAATAAATCTCAATGGAGAGGGGAGCTATGAGTGAATTGTCAGAAAGGTTACTGCTGTGGCAAGAAAATGATAAAAGTGAAGATATCTTTTCTATTTTAAATTCCTTTGCTTTTATAATTACTGAGTAGAATCTACCAAAACCAATTTACAAGTAACTGAAACACTTTCCCAAATGTTTCCTCTTGTCTCTTTCCTCATGCATATTTCTAGTTCCAGTACCACAGGACATATGGTATATGCCATTAGACTTTAGCTGCCTTTATAATTACATAGGCTACCATAGCATAAAACCAAATCCATGGCTGGTCTTCCATGACCTCAAGGAAGCTGGAGCTTGCGATCTTTTGAGGATGGAAGCAATGCGATAATATCTGGATCCCCTCTCCTGGAATGCAGACCACAACTGGAAGAAGATCGAGAAGCCGAGGCTTTGTCCCTGGCAGCTTTGTGAAGGATGAGACACAGCAATATGTGTAATCAAATGACAGACAGCAGCTAAGCAGTTGCAAAGAAGAATGAGAGAGAGGGATAGGACTCAGGGAAAGCACAATGGAGAGGTTTTGGAGGAAGACAAGAAAATGGAAAAAGAACTTTAAGAGAACAGGGAGACCAAGAAGAAAAAGCAAAAAGAAGATGGTATGGAAATATATGAATACTGAACAAATGAGAAACAAGAAGAATGCAGAAGAAGAAAACCTAGAAAAAGAAGAAAAAGAAGGCAAAACTCACTTTTCAGGTCAGTAGCAGCTATCTGAGTTGCTCTTTTAAAGCTTGTATATTCTAGAAGGGGGGGAGGGAAATGGACAGAAAACTTATGAAGATTGATTCAGTTTGAGTTGCTGGTTGTGTTTCTTGACAAGTTGCTCATCAGTCCTGTCTGGTATCAAGGCCTCTCTGCTGATGGAGATTAGTATTTCTGCTAAAATGTAAAGTCACAGAAGCTCTGATCACTTGTGGTTATTCAAGATGCTATGGCACACTCCATAGCATGGTTATTCAAGATGCTATGGCACACTCATGAAGTGTCAATCTGTCCTAGCCAAATTCTAATCACCTGGGTAATTACATTCTGCCTACATGAATTTCACAGTAATTTCACTCGGAGGCATTTCAAAGCCCGTCTCCTATTTACAGGCCTGTTAGACAGGGCCCTGAAAACATCTTGTTAAGATTTTGCTGCCCAGCGGAGGGGAAAGGTAAGACATTTCCTTCCTCAACGGAATTCAGCCCTGCTACAGACAGGGCTAGGCTCTCCTCCAGAGAGAGAAGCAGCTTCCAAGAAGCGATTTGTTTTCCTTTCAAATAGACGAGTGAGCACCATATGAAGAGTGGACAAAAACACTCGGGGGGGGGGGGGGGTACTGTGCTGCTTTCCAGGACTGAAAGCCAGTTTAGCCCAAACCAGAAGTGGAAGGCTGCCAAGTTACATTCCTGCCCAGTTTAAGCTCCCCCTGGGAACCTGTATCACTACAATAGTGCATTTCCCAGGGGCCCAGGTCCTGCCTGGAGGCTCAGTTCACATTCTGCACCATTCTCTTGAGTCCTACAGAGGCAAATAACCTCCTCTGAAGGCCTGACTGCCTCCTGTTTCACTTATAAGGAATGCGGCCCCTGGGTCAACTCCCACATGTGCAGTGCTGTGCTCTCATCACAGCATAATGCAGTGTCTTGACAGGGAAGCCCGGGGTTGTAGATGTATTCCTCATTTGAAGTCACAATATTCCCTGCAGTGGGAGGCAGGCCACTCCCTGTCAAAGACCGATCAGAGAAAGCAAATGCACAAAAAATGAATTGAACAGCAATGTAAAGAATGAATGAAATGCTGCAAAGGGTAACCAAGTGCTTGCTGCCACTGAAGAGGTAAGGGGGCAGAGGAGGAAAAGAGGTTATGTGTCTTTAGGAACAGCTTATATGTCCTCAGGAATATTATTTAACTCATAGTCATTTACAGAAATGACCAGCCCACCAGAAAGCAGAAATATTGTAGTTTTCTGAGGAAGAAAAAAGCAAAATCTGCCTCTCCTATTTAGCCTGAGCACAAATCTCTCCTGTGAGGGTCCCCACTGAATTCAGTCTGAGGGTTGTAGGGGCGGTCTACACTGTTCAGGCCACATAGGCTTAATTCTGTGGTTGAGACTCACGCAGTATCTTCATGCAGTCCCATCGCTATTCTGTACTGTGTACCTTCACAGTACAGTCACACTGCAAATCTGCTGCCCGCTACACTGGGCACATGGAGCAGGTGAAGGGCTGCAGCATTGCACAGTGGCTGGAGGCTGTGCCACCATGCAGAGCTCCCTCTGCAGAGCTCCAGGTAGTCCAACTAGAAGGCACTAGCTCAGCTGCAGCCTCTTACTTTGGCCCTTCTCCATAATATAAAGCCATATGAGCACCCATGCTACGTAACATGGTGGAAAAGGACTGACCTGTTGAAGCACCAGAAAGATCAGAGCTAAACTATTACCTATAATTGCAGTACTTGGCCTTTTAATTGTTGCCTCATTACCCAGGGAATGTGTCTCAGCTCTTAGGATGAAAAACAGCTTGCAAAAGTCCAAGAGATTTTGTTTCCACATCTTCTGAAAGTCCTCCTTTCTGTTGAGCCCTTAGTTAAAACTTATGGTTAGTGACTCATGTTGTCCAGCAGCCAGGGAATTTAGCTATAGGGTAGATGTGCTGCGCCTGCAGTGTGCTCTGTCCATCTTCTTCAGCCCTACAGAGGTGCTTCCTGCAGCAGGGTAGGCTGTGGTTTGAGATAAACAGGGTTGATGGCTGACTAGGCTCCTTCCAGGTAGACCCACATACATTTCTGCAGGCCATATCTGTACTACATGCAGACAAGGAGCCAGAGGAGCTTCTGTGGCACTGTTCCAGCACGCCACGGTTGGAAGATCACTTTGTTGGGACCTGAGTGGCTGAGAGGGAGGGGAGCAGAAGGTTATGGCCAAGGCCGCTCTCTCATCTCCACCCCAGCTGCACACACACAAACCCATCCGCCATGGAAAAAAATTTGTGAGTATCCAAGACTTTCACTCCCTCACACATACTCTTCCCCTAAAAGCTCATCTCCGTATATGAATGTATGAAAGACAAATGAAAGTAAATGATTAAGGGAAAGGAGTTCCACAGCTGAAAAAGAGAATGTTTGTTTGCAGGTTGATGACTGAACATTTACTACCTTAAAGTGAGGTAACCATGAAAAGGTAAATGCAGTCCTTGGATGTAACAGGAGAGCTAGTTCCAAAACTATTCACTGGTACAGGCCCAACTGAAACATCATCTGGAAGACTGCATACATTTCTGGTAACTAACAGTCATAAAAAATTAATTTGAATTGGAATAGCAGCAAAAAATGGCTAGGGTAACTGGGGAACTGGAGAAGCTATCCTATGAGAAGAGATGAGAACAGGTGGTGGGCTCAGTCTAGCCAAACAAAGGCTCAAAGGGATTTCAGCTCTTGTTTATAAATACTGCAACGGGGAAAGAGCTATTCAGCAACAAGACACTGTTAGCAGTACGGAAAATAAAAATATATCAACTGTGCATGGCTACTTTTGAACTAGAAATTAGAAGAAATTTCCTAAGGCTTAGCAGAAGGAGGTTCTTGAAACAGTTTTCTCATTAAAGAACAGTACACAAAATCACCAATTTACTATTAAAATAATGCAAGAAGTCTATGAAAAAGATAGCATAGGAAAGTGCTTTCAGTAGCAGAAGTCTGAACCTGATAACACAGAAGGCCTTTCCACCGTTATTTAATGCTCTTAAGAGTGATAGCTCCCACAAGGTCTGCAAACTAGAATAGAACTGAAATTGTAGAAACTTCCCGCCATTTGTAGCAAAATGCTTTATTTTCAAACTGATGCCAGTCAAATGCAGTGTTAGAAAGAGGCTGTCACATGGAAACCAAAGTCTTCTACTAGATGCTAGCTTATTACCAGCTGCGCATAAAATCATCAGGAATCAAATACCTACTGCAAGGAGGAGAATTTAGTTCACGTATTGACAAATCTAGCACTGTATGTAGCTTGGC